TGTTTAATAGGTCCGCGGCTGTGGACCCTCGTGTAGGCATTAGGAAAGGCTGCCACGGCAGTGATGGCTGCAACAATGATGACCTCGAGAACAGGATACTTTCCAAACTTGGTGGATTTGCGTCGGCGGCACCAGGCAATATTTGCCCTAATGAAAAAGGCTCCCCATAGCCCTCCAAATACCCCGAGGAGAATAAAAGGAAACAGTTCAAAAAGGTACCATGGTGTATGATACTCCACATAAAAAAGGACCAGACGGCTATTACCAAATGGATTGATGGATCTCAAAACAAATGCAGCCACTAAAGCGGCAAAAAATGATCTCCATAAAGTTTTTAGAGGAAAATAATAGCTAACCTAAAAAAAAAAGGAAAAGAAAAATTAATGCTATAATTTTATAAGATAGTTCTGATATGTTACAACTTGAACGGTAAATATCAACACTCTAAATTTTGCTGCAGCTAGAATTTACATATAAGGGATTTTACCGTGGTAAGAAAAATACCACTATTTAGTAACTTTGGCTATCACATCATTACTAATTCACAGTATCAACTGATTATAAATGTCTAATAATTATTTAAAATACCTAGCATTGTGTTATTTTTAAAATGAGCTTCATGCCAATTCAATCATGGTAGTTAAGAATAAATGTACCACCACCAACTCCTGTTAGTTCATAAAGAAGTATTTAATTTCCCTCTTAGATACTGAAGCAAAAAAGAAGAACATAAACAACTGGGGGAGAAAAGTAAATTTTAAACATTTCTAAGTCACATTTTTGTGTAAATGTGTAAAAACTCTTAAGCACCAGTGAGAACACAAAAACAAAATATTCCACTGAAGCAACTAGAATTATTTCCTTAAACATCAATAAATGCCACAGAAATAATCACACAAGAAAAACTTAAAAAGATGACTTAGAGACTGATTAAAAATCTTTAAATAAAAACAAGGCTATAATTTAGCCAATAAGGATTGTTTCCAATATTTTCTATTTGTGCTTACCCTTAATTATGTTCAACAAACTTAAATTTTAAATAATCACTAACATTTTATACATGAATAATATTTTTTAAAGACTTTTCTCACTAAAGAACATATATATTACTTTTCATGACTTTTTAATGTAAGAAAGAGTGAAAAATAACTATGAAAATAAATTTGAAAACTTAAAAGCAAAGTCTGTATCTATTATACTAGTTATAAAACTGAAAAGTGTGCCAAAATACATGTGTAATGGTAATTATACATAATTTTAATTGCTGGTGGTTGTTTTAACCTACCTCTTCCAGGCTGAAAAGAACTCCTCCGATTGGTGCACCAAAAGCTACAGAAACACCTGCAGCTGAGGCAGCTGACAGCACCTACAAAGAGGATGCGGGTTATTTCACATGTTCTTAGAAACTCAAACATACCAAACACAAATTCCTCATGTTACTCACATTTCCGAAATGCCCTTCTGAACTGAACTCACATGTCTCCCTCTCTCCAAGCAAAGACAAACATTTCTTCTAACAAGATTTTCTTCTCTTCTGCTTTAATTGAAAGGTCACTCCTATATTCAATATCCAGTCAAAACACATTTGTGCGAGATACACCAATGTAATAAGCAGGAGGTAAAGGAAAGGCAATGAACACAGACAACCTTCGAGATGTGTGCTTGAGGACACGAGTGGAGAGACCAGTGGAGAGAGCTGTTTGTTTGTTTTTAAACAGGATATTATCTCTTCAGATTTTGGAGCTCACTGCTGCATCATTAATAATTACTCTAGCCCACATCCTAGTGAAATGTCCAGGGAACTTAAAACCTATTGAGCTCCCTACAGGTTCAGTTCCCTAAGCCTCTGAAGAGACCGCTACTGCCCCCATGGGAGCCTCAGGTGAGGGTACAATCCATGGCCACCCGAGGGCGCACGCCCAGCACAGGTCCCAGCAAGGAAGAAACAGCACTCACGGTCCTCCCTCCAGTCCCCAGGCGGCCACTGAACGCTGCCCACCTCCCACCAGGGCGAAGCCAAACACACATATCAAGTCACTGGGCATCTACTGGTAATCAAGTACTCTTCTAAGTCTTTATTCCTTTTACTACTTTACTCCAGTAAATATCTGAGGCTACCAAAGCATTTCCTCAAATGGTGAATTCTGACATCTCTGAAAGAGAAATTTGAAATAATAAAAATTAAATTGTAAGTGTTAAGAGCACAAACTCCACAGTCAGGCTCCACAGTCAGTAGTTGGTAAGTTAAAAATGAACAAATACTTGTTTTAATTAAATTGTACCCGGCTTTAGAAGGCAGACTGCTTATTTGGGGGAGGAGGGAGAGCAAATCGAACTTACTATTTTGTTTTTTTTTCCACCAACAGGATTGCAGACAACAGACTTAACTGAATTCTCTGATTCCACGTTTAATATAATAGAATTTTACAACCAAGCTAGCACCCACATACTTAAAAGTCACAGATGTTTTCGTCTGTTTCATAAATATCTAAGAATCACTTAATTTAAACACGTCAAGGAAGTGGTCAAGGGATGAAGGCCAAAATACGAAGCCTAAATGCTTTCAACTAACGTGTGAACTCTAGTCATTTACGCGCCAAGGTGTCAGAATCAAGTTAATGTCATAAACATGACTAATCTTCACAGTGTGCACATTAAAATCTGGGTGAATTTAATTTCTATAATATTTTCTAATAAATTAATTTTTGTACTTATAATGAATAAATAAAAATTAAAATCTTACCCCACAAATGTCAAGGTACAATAGCAAGTAAAGGAACTGCACTGGGTAGACAAATGCAGTTGAGACTGGGGAAACAGGAAGGGACTGGGCTCCCAAAGTCTAGAGCTAATAAGAAGGTCCCAGGAGCCCACTTTTCTTCTAGAAAATATCCACAGCAACCTAGAAACATCAGGGGAACTCTATGATATATCAAGTTTAAAGGTCTCCTAGAAGATCTCAGGCAAGAGGAAGTCCTGTATCCCCTTAACGGGAATCTCTGATGTAACCTCAGGAGGTTAAAGACCCTTCGAGCTTCCCTAAGGTGCCAGAGAGCTCTCTAAGATGACACGCCTCCCCCACTGGGCATCAGACACCTCCTCCAGAGGAAAACAGCTGGTGAGATGGCCCACCCCAGGAGAAACACTGATCCGGAGAAACAGGAGTAAAACAATGTTACATTTGGGAAACACTCCAGAGCAGGAGAGGTGTCAGCAAAACAAAAACAAATGCAAATCTTTGTGAAATTCAGCTGAAACCAACGACACCAGGCCATCTAAACCTCCCTGAAATACAGGAGTAAGGCACTGGGGATGGACTCCAGACAGATACTGGAGATCATTCAGAACACATTAGAATTGTAATCTGAATACAGAATGTATCCAATGTGATCCTTACACTAGGAGATTCTTCCCTGATTAAGTCTATGTAACAGATGTTCGTCTGTCAAATAAACAACAGAAGACACTTACCTCTCTTTTCTTAGCTTCATTTGTGCTGTACTTCGGAAAGAGGTAGGAAAAGATATTCCCACAGCAACAGGCAACGTGTACCAAGGGCCCTTCTTTTCCTAAACTCAAACCTGATGCCACAGCCAGTACTAATGTGATGGTTTTAATCATTAAAGTCCATTTTCCCAAGTAGCCTCTGATGATGAATCCACTCAAAATAGTTTTAATCTACAAGGGAAAGATCAAGGCAGCTTCATTTCCTTTAAGAAACATGAGACCTTAACTAATAGATTACTCTCTTGTTTTACCCTGCAAATTTTGGTGGACAGTGGAAAGATTCACAACTCATCTCCTGAGAGCTTGAACTATTATGCTCTACATAACAAATCTGTAACGTATTCTAATTCTCCTTCCCAGCAAGGACAGAAGGCAACCCTATCTCATGAACAAAACTAAAATACCAGGCCATGTTAAGGGGCTACAGACGTCAGTGCAAGGGGTATAATTACATAACCAGCAAATGGTAAAGTGGGATATTTCTGTTACAGACATATAATACAGTTAGATACATTTCAGACATTCTGTGTCAGAAATAAAGATATTTTGCCTTTAAAGATATTGTGCCTTCTCAGAGTACTGTAATAATGTGTAATATTTTCCTATGTATTAAGAAGGATGAGTGACAACTGCTACATACTACACAGCATTGCTCCTTATTAAAGACATTCTTAATTAATACAGCTTTAAAATCACTAAAATTGTTTTTAAAAACAATGCACTAGAAAAAGCTAGCAGCTTATTTAGGACAGAAAAATAAAAAGGGAAAAGAAAAGAAATAAGTTCACATCATGTTCAATCTTAAGTATATTCTTCTTTAAGTCATTGTTGATAAAAAATAAAACCCAAAAGTTTGTACTATGGACCCACTATGATCAAGTATTTATTTTAAAGTACAAAAGGGTTATAAATGTTATCTGCCAAATTCAAGGATTATTAACTTATCTAATTAAAAGATAGTTATAAAAAGAAAATGAACGTAATCAAATCCAGTTCATATGAGCAAAACATCAACTAAGTCACCAAAGAACTTGAGGCTGCAAGATATTTTCCAGGTTCTTGGTGTTTAGCTCAGTGCTGATATTCGTTTAGTCATGTGTGAAATTAGCGGTGAGGAAAAAAAATCAACCTCCACAACCAACAATGAAATGAGTATGGGGAAGAATTTCTTTCAACAATGTCTACTATCAGCTGGCATTAAAAAATTTTTCTTTTTCATATTACAGACAAACCACTTCCTCAGAAAAACCACTACTTTTCCCCCCTACAAGCCAACAGATGAGTATCACAACTGCAAAATGTTGATGACACTAAACACTGCATGGCTTACCTCTGGAATCCCAGAGCCACAGGCATACGGAGCAAACACCTTCACCAGGGAAACGGCAAGAAAGGCGAAACTCAAGGCCCAGAAGATGTACATTATGTAGTTCATGATGTACGAACCAGGACCCTAAGAAACAAATAGTTCAACAGCATGAACTTAATTTACAGGCACCACTAATTCAAGTGCTTACCACCTAAGCAGCTTGGGTAAAACTTGTAGAAGGCTCCTGGTTTACTGCCACAATAATAAAAGCTTTACATGAACGAAATATTTAAGTAGAGTCTAAAAACATATTTGTATACGTACCAAGGAGACCATCTATTTAATATTTTTCCTAGCTTCTTCCTGATCCTCAAAGTCTTGTTGCCAAGAATCTCGGCTGCACTTCAATCTCCGCCAACCCACAAACCACTTTTTGGAAACAGTTGGTGAAGACAAAACTACCTTCACACTCAGATTTCATTTTGCTGCGATTCTCCTGAAGATTAAGTGAGAAACAGCATACTGCCCATCTCACCAGCAGATATATTCTTTTTAGTGCTAAAATTCAGCTATAACAAAATTTAAAAAACGTATCCATAACTTACCATGTAACCATGTATATATATATATAATATAATATTCTAACTTCTAAAATATTCTTTATAGAACATCAACAATAGTAAAATACTCATTTAAAAACTGTCATGCCACAAAGAAAAATCTAGGCATTTCTGCAAGATATCTCCAGTTAGAAGGCTTATTTTCACTAAAATTTTTGATAATTCATACTTCCCAAACCATTGTGATGTATTATGCTACTAGGCACTTTGTGGTTACACAGCTCCTTCTTTTCTACAATAAGAAATACATTTTATGTCATAACCCAGCAGATTTGTATGTGGCTATGCAGTTAATAGAAGAGCCTCTTGAAACAGTACCTACGTTTTACTCACGGCAACGTATTCTCATATTTTCCATTCTATCCTATTACATTTCTTTCTTTATTTTCTTTTCATGCAGCTGCAGTCATCTAACATGTGATTAATTCTATAATTGAATGAACTGGAGACTCATTTCATGGTATCAATTATTAATTCACTTTGAGACAAAGCAAGGCTCACCTCCGCTTGCCCTATGATTAATTCCGCCCAGGTTTTCCACTGTGGACATTTATCCCTCTCCTCAAATGTGGTTTCATTAGACCCCCAGCAACACTGTTCGTGGTTGTACCACAGTGCGCTAAGGCAGATGCCCTCCTTGAGGTCAGTCATCCAGTCAGCGGCAATGTCTATTAAACCAGCCAATGCCCCTGGAAAAAATGTTGGAGGTGGTGAAAACAGGCAGTCCATTTCTGGGGAGCCCAGAACTATCAGGTTAAAAGGGTCAAGGAAAGCTGGGGACTCCCTACAAATAAAGGGTCATAAAGGGAATACTACACAAATTTAAGATTTCAAATCGTATTAGAAATAAGTTTCTATTACTTTTTAAAAAGTGTAAATAGCTATTCTTTAAAATAAAACTGTTATTCTTTGCTTGAAATTAAAACTACTTACATCATTAAAATTCACTGTGATTTTTAAAATGTGTCGGAATCTTCCAAAGACAACCACCTGGCGGGAGGGGCTCATCTCAGGTTGTGAAGTCATAGTTTTTACTAGGGTCTTTTAATCTGAAACCTAATCCGTAGATTTACAAAGGATCTCAAACTCATTAAAATGGAATAGCCGTTAGAATTAGTGAAACTCATGGCATTAATGAATTACTGTGACAGACTATCAGGTTTGTTTCTTTTTTTCTCTCAACAGAAAATCAAATATACCAAGATCATCTTACTGACAGAGTACAGAGAATACACAAATTTATGGTCAAAATCTAGGTCCTTCTCATATAAAAAGATCAATGGGTCACATAAACAGTGGCCAGCCAATAAGGGGTATCAGATTGCCTCTACTCTCTACACAAATTTTTTAACTTTCCCTCGTGTTCTTCGGGACAGAATCTTCCACAGTGGAAGCTGAAAGTCAGTAAAACAGCCCTTCGTGTTTGTTTTCACATCTTCAACTGCTATTAAAGTCTCACCCACAGGGCCTCTGGGCGGGTGCAGCCCACACGGAGCTTAAGTGTGGGCTCTGACCGTGGCCTGCCGACTCTCTAGGTACATGACCTCGGTCAAGTCGCTTAAGCTCTCTGTGCTTAGTCCCCTCGGCTGTTAAGACTCAGACCATAGGACTGCCATGAGGTTTACACACACGTAGCGCTTTTGGAACAGTGTATGACACACAGGAAGCACTCAATAAATAGTAGCTATTTACTGTGATGTAAACATTAAAATATACTTCACTGATCATCTGGTCCAAACCATGTGTTTTACAGATAAAGAAACAGAGCGAGAAAGGTCAGCCCAATTGGATAGGCACGTACGCTGACAGAGCCAAGACTAGAACTCTGCGCCTCCTGCCTCCTAGTCTTATATTTAAGAAGATTTTTTTGAAGGAAAGCAACAAATGCTTCTGAAAATCGCAAAGTACCTGAAAAAAAATTGCAAGAAGGAGGGGAGAACTATTTATTATCCTGTTAACCAAAAAAGGGTTACATTAAAAATTTCTTTACCTGATGCCAATCCTGTTAGTGTTACTACTAGCCATCCTGACCACGCATCATACAAACTTTTTGTCATTTCCCATGCTGATTCTTTCTTCTTGCTGTTGATCTGAAATTAGAAATGTTTATGCTTCATTTTTCAAACTATGAACAGAAGCCAGAGTTTTAGAATCTAACAATTTTCTCAGTTACTATACATGGAACAGTACTTTCTAGACTAAATAATGGGATAAGTGAGTTTGGGGCAGAATCACGAGGTCAGACACCTGTGACCCAGATGACAAGCATTTACCCAGAAATCTGTATTTTTAACAAGAACCACAGGATGAGAGCAAAGGGGTCCACAAACCACATAAAGTCTGACACAGACTGTTTTAAACTGAATCAATCTTAGCTGGTATACATCTTTTATATTAACAGAAATAAGACATTATAGCTTGAAATGTCTGTCATTCCCTGCTCATTCTCTGCTTCTAGCAGTTAAGTGGAACATAATAGTCTTTAAAAGGTAAGGTCAGTGAATAACTGTACTATGCCCATAAATGTAGTACAAAGCAGTCATGTGAATAAAGGGGCTGCCAAAATGTGTAGGCCTGTAATACGCGGGAATGGAGCGCTCCAATCCCAGGTGAAGGGTCCCATCACTGGGTAAGGCAGAGACGTCCTCTACAAATACAGAGCAGGAGGTAAGATTCGCAGGACGGCAACAGACCTGATTTCCAGATCTCATTCTAAGACACAAGAGGGCAAGTCTCTCCTCTCTTCCTAAGAAACGATCCCTAACTTGCCCAAACCTCTTCTGTCCTACTACCACGGCTGCTTTACAAAGCCACATTCTCGGGTCAGGACTTCAGTGCTCCTTCATCCCACGGGAGGGCTACAGCCGGAATTCAATGATCTGGCCTATTTCAAACATTTCCTCTATTTCAAGCCACAAGGCTCCATTCAAAAGACTCAGTAAGTTCTAAATTGAATGCGGCAATTTTATTCCTTCTATATTATAAGCAACCAATCACAGATATTAACCATTCTTTAGAATCAAAGGTAGATCATTCCTTTCAAAAACAATAAACCTCATGTTGCTTCTTCCTCTAAGTAAGAATAACTGTAATGTTTAATGAGATATAACATTAAGTAAAAATTTGAAAATCATCTAAACGTTCATCAATATAGTACTGGTTAAATAAATTGCAGTACATCTATGTCATGAAAAACTCTGTAGCCATTAAAAAAGAATGAGATAAATGCAGTATCATTTGGAGGAGAAAAGCAAGGTATAAGTGTGTATAGGATGCTACCATTTATCTAAGAAAAATAAATAAATACATATGCTTGTATTTTAAAAAATAAAGCGACAAAACATAACACTGAAAGTGTGAATCATTACCTGTAAGAGGAGGAAGGCAATAAGTTGGGAGGTGCAGGGACTATAAAAGAAAGTAATTTGTATGTGTAACCCTAGTGGGTTAAACACTAAGGACAAAAAGTATCGTAAAAAAAAGAAAACACTAAAACTCTTCAGTAAGCATACTGCTGCCGAGAGTGTTGGTAGCATTATTCTGAAATAACACATCTGCTGTGTGTGTGCTGTGAGGAGAATCAATGCATGTGACGCTGATTCTGGGCTTGGCTGAAAGGAGATACAGGTTTAAGGACTAGAAGTCAAATGAAAGCCCTACAGCATTTAACTTAAATTAGAAGGTTCCTCTAAAATTAAGAGGCTAGAAACAATGGCTAGCCTGCAAGCAGTAAGAGCCTCCAGCGCTCAGGCTGCCTGTGTACCATTTTCCTTCAAAGGAACCAGAGCTCCTTGGAGAGGTCCAGGTTAGGTGCAGGAAACGTGTAACATGAGCCAGGATTATCTTGTCTTCCCAGAATACATCAAAGTCTACTAAGCACAGGCCAAAGGACTCAGACACCAACCTAAATAAGCTGGCACTGGTCAGAAATGGAATAACACGGGCATCAATAAGAATAATAATTGTGATGATTAAAACACATCAAATATGTTTAGACCCATGAAGATACAGAAACAGCAACCAAACAAGCAAACCAAAACCTCACTGGTCAACTCTGAGGATGCCAGGGAGCCATGAGGTGTCAAACCTCCTCCCTTCTCTGTACAACCCGAACCTGAGGGAATCCAGGTAACTGGTGTGGGAAGGTTCTCTTTATAGAAAAAGTCAAGCTAATAAATAAAAACGGAATGAGAATTAGATTGCTACCATCCTGCGAAATACTGACATAAATATTTGAAATGATATAATGTTGAATTTGCTTCGAAATAAGCTGGGGGGGGGGAGCGGCTTCCCTGGTGGCACCGGGGGTGAGA